CCGATCAGCAGGAGGTTGAGCCAGTCGGGGTCCGCCATCTTGTTGATCATGGGCAAGAGGACGTTGCAAGTCACGAGCTCCACCACCACAAAGCGTCCAGTCCTGGTTTCAAGGTGCGTTTCGGGCACCAAGACACGCAACAGCAAGTCCACAATGCGCCGGGCATAGTCCACCTCGTTTGTGGGGCTCCGGACAGCAGTGTGCGGGGCGGACAATTCACAGTACTCTCGCCAAAGGCGACTGGCTCTTTCAGCCGGGTCGTCGAAGTTTCCCGCCCCTGCCAGTTTTTCCCGGGCTTTCTTGTAGGCCTGCAGGTGGCAGCCGCCGAGGAGGAGCACCCGCTGGGTCAGGGCCTGCTTGTCCACCAAGGCCAGCCTCCTCTTCAGCTCCTGGGCGAGGCCCATCATGGCTTTCCGAACCTCCCACTCGAAGTTTTGCTCACGGCTGACGGCCCTGTACCAAGACGACACGAAATCCCGAATGATCTTCTGGATCATGGTCTCGATCTCCTCGTCCAGCTGCTTCTCCGCATCCAGGTTTCCGGGGTAGGGCTCCAGGAGAAGGAACCTCTCCAGGTGGACCCGGTTGCGGGTTCCGATCACCGCCTGGGAACCGAACCATCCGCCCAGCACCGCCAGCAAGCCGGAGAGGATGCAGAGCAGCCAAACGTTGACCAGCAAGTGCAGGACCAGGAGCCAGCCTAAGAGGGCCCCAATGGCCACCAGCTTCCGGTTCCCCACCATGTCGCTTAACCCCACGCCGGGTTCTTGGGCTCTCAACATCTTGGGACTTGATTTCTCTTTCAAAACAGCAAAGAGCTCCCCGGTCCTAAGCAAAGGCTTTAAACCACGTGACAAAAGTCTATGTTATTTTTAAATGCACGCAACAACTTTGAGAGGGCGATGTTTCTTGTCGTTTCCCCACCTGCGAGGATCCACCTTAAATCACTGCTCGGCCATCCCCAAGCTGAGCCCGGGAAAAGTAGCAACGGGCGGAGAGGCGTCCCAGCAAGGGCAGGGGTCCCGCTTTCGGAGGCTCCCAAGGGGCTTCTGCAAAAGGCCGGCGAGATATGAACCGGCTCGGCCTCCCCGGCCTCCCCGGGGCTTGCAAAAACCCCAAGCTGCGCCCTCGTTGCAAACCTGGCACCGGCGGGAGTTTTCCGCACGCTGCTTCTTCTGCGGCGGCGCCTGCTTCTCTTGCACGCCGCTCTCGCTCTCAAGCCGCCGGCTGCGTCACGGGACAGTTTCGGGCTCGCCAACGGCGCCGCGGTGCAGTTCCGCCGCGTCCACCTCTGGCTGGAGCCGCGCCCCCTCCCGCCGCGGTCCCTCTCCGGTTGCTCCCAACCGGCGGGGCTACGAGCGCCCCCTCTGGCCGGAGAGCCCGTCGCAGGCGCCGCTCGAGCGCTTCCTGGGTCTCTCTGCCGAGGAGAGGCGACCGCCAAGGCCCGGCGCGCGCGGGGGTTCGGGTTTTTCCTCCGTTGCCATCTAGCGCTCAGAGCGGAGCATCGCAACGGCAGCTGGAGGGGAGGAGGAAGTTCAGCCGGGCTGGTGGCTGGATGCGCGCGTTGCATCCAGCGCCCCTTCCCTTAGGGCGTATAAAGTGAACCGAGAGAACCCTCCGCGTAAGAAGAACCTCTTACAATGCAGAACAATAGTTTCAGTCCAGTGGCACCTTTAAAACCACCAAAGTTTACTTCTGGGTATAAGCTTACGTGTGCATGCATAAAACTTCGTGCATTAAACGTTGATGGTCTTAAAGGTGCCACTGGACTACAACTTTGTTCTGTTGCTTCTGACCAACACGGCTACCCGCCTGAATCTACCCTTAAAATGTTATGAAGCAGCAGGACCAAGTCTGAGTCCAGTGGCACCTTTAAGACAGAGAAGGTTTAATTCTGGGTGTGAGCTTTCGTGGGTATGCACACTTCTTCAGATCTCTACTCCCTGAAGTGTGCATGCACACGAAAGCTGTTCTGATGCTTCTGACCAACACGGCTACCCGCCTGAATCTACCCTTAAAATGTTATGAAGCAGCAGGACCAAGTCTGAGTCCAGTGGCACTTTTAAGACAGAGAAGGTTTAATTCTGGGTGTGAGCTTTCGTGGGTATGCACACTTCTTCAGATCTCTACTCCCCGAAGTGTGCATGCACACGAAAGCTTATACTCAGAATTAAACCTTTGTTGGTCTTAAAGGTGCCACTGGACTACAACTTAGTTCTGTTGCTTCAGACCAACACGCTGCCAACCTGAATCTACCCTTAAAATGTTATACTTTAAAAAAAAAACGGACAGAACTATATAACTGGTATGTGAATGTAAGACGAGCTCTCCTTTTTGATGGTATACCTGGGGGGGGGGGACACACCTAATTTTGCATTTGAGAAAATACTGTATTTTGTTTCCACTACTATATGTTGGTGAGGATGGAACTGGCCCAGTATCACCCAATGAATTCCATGGCTGAGCGGGGCTTTAGAACCAGACCTCAGGCTGCAATCGCTGTGCCACAAACGTCTCTGCTACCATTCGCTTCTTCTGAACATTTAGTTTTTTAAGAGGAGGAGGAGGAGAAGAAGAGATTGGATTTATACCCCGCCCTTCACTACCCAAAGGAGTCTCAGAGCGACTTACAAACTCCTTTCCCTTCCCCTCCCCACAACAGACACCCTGTGAGGTAGGCGGGGCTGAGAGAACTCTGACAGAAACTGCTCTTTTTCAAGAACAGCTCTGACAGAACTATGGCTTGCCCAAGGTCATCCAGCAGGTGCAAGTGGAGAAGTGGGGAATCAAACCCGGTTCTCCCAGATTAGAGTCCACACACTTAACCACTACACCAAACTGGTGTGTGTTCTATAAAACAGGACGTGTGTTCTATAAAATCTGTTTTATGTCGCCAACCAGCGCTGTCTTTCAAAATATTAAAATGCAGACAATCAAAGGATGCTGGCGTCCGTGCAGGCTGTTAGCTTCTCTCCCGCCTGCCCGGGCAGTTCTTCAAGACCATCTCTGGATGGCTCTGGGATGAAGGGGGGGGGGGTGTTCCAGGATGATCCCTCTAGTTTTCAGGCATTATGCAGCGCCCACTATCATATGGACGTCCTAAAGAACAAAGTTGGAGTCCAGCGGCACCTTTAAGACCAACAAAGTTTTATTCAAGGTGTGCCCTTTTGTGTGCACGCATGCTTCATCAGACGATAAAATGGAATTACAGAACATAGTTGTATATATAAGGGTGGCTTGTTAAATTATCATGCAAAATAGTGAAGGTGTTTATTAACAGATCAAAAGAATGACAAGCTCGTTTCTGGTTATCATCTGTTTGGGTTCAACTGTGTGTGGGGGGGAACATAGTTATTACATATGTCAGAACTGGAGAACTTGTAAGAATCCAGTCCTTAGACCCCATCCATCTCCTTTCTAGCATGAAAGCGAACTTGACAACATCTTGGCTGTGTAGAGTGTTTTCCTTGTCCCCCAAAACAGAGCATTACATTTAAATCTACCATTCCAAATGACATTACATACTCAATTATATTCTTAATTGTTAAGAGTAGTAAACTGAGATTATTTTTTTTTAAAAAATAACATTTTGCTTCACCAAAACATGGAGTTAACTGACCTATGTATTTGCAAAGTGATAAAAGTTGGTTAGAGTTCACCTGTAAAAGTGAGTGACACAAACAACATATACTCTTTGACGGAAATCCCCCTCACCGTCATTCTCCAATGGGTCAAACAATTAAAAAAAACCCTACAGTGGAAACCCCCTCTTCCCATATGGCAAATTGACCTCAGTCAGAAGAAGAAGAACCCATCTTCTTCCTTTGGGAAACTAACTGGGGGGGAGGCTGAGAAGAGGAAGGGGCTTTTGCTGTTCAGGGATACGGTATCATACTACTGGGCTTTCCAAGGGATTTCCCCACACACACACCAATAATTGGTTTTGTGCATATTAAGGTGCTTTCAGGGTTTCCACATGGCTCCATTCTGCACTTGGGAAGGATCTCCACCTGCAGTCCCAGGAAGGATATTGAACAGCGACGGATAGCCTGGCGAAGATGACACCTTCAACCACAATTAGAACAAGGGGAAGAAATGTGCCAGTCTCTCTGGGAAGAGGTAAATTTTTTTGGGCAAGAGATGAGTATGAATCTACACATGTTTGGGGCCCTTGGGTGGAAGATGCAACTGTGTGTGTGTGTGTGTGTGTGTGTGTTAAGTGCTGTCAAATTGCTCCCAACTCATGGCGACCCTATGGATCAAAGGCCTCCAAAATATCCTGTCCTTAACAGCCTTGTTCAGGTCTTGCAAACTGAGGCCCCTCATGGCTTCCTTGATTGTCCATCCGATTCCTGTTGGGTCTTCCTCTTTCCCGGCTGCCTTCAGCTTTCCCTAGCATGATGATCTTTTCCAGGGACTCTTGTCTTCTCAAGATGTGAGTAGATTCTACTTATAACGAAAGACCAAATGACAAGTGTCTTTAGAATTCTGTGTCTGGATCCCCAATGTGCTATCTGGGAAGGGAGCAGGAATATGGATCAGACCATGGGGGGCTCAAGTTCCGCAGGGCCTGCAAGACGGAGCTCTTCCGCCAGGCCCTTCATGGCTTCCTTGATTGAGTCCATCCGATTCCTGTTGGGTCTTCCCCTTTCCCGGCTGCCTTCAGCTTTCCCTAGCATGATGGTCTTTTCCAGGGACTCTTGTCTTCTCAAGATGTGAGTAGATTCTACTTATAACGAAAGACCAAATGACAAGTGTCTTTAGAATTCTGTGTCTGGATCCCCAATGTGCTATCTGGGAAGGGAGCAGGAATATGGATCAGACCATGGGGGGCTCAAGTTCCGCAGGGCCTGCAAGACGGAGCTCTTCCGCCAGGCCTTTGAGTAGGAGCCGCCGCCCCACTATACCACCACCGTCGTGGTATCTTAAAGGATGCACGGACGAGGCCCCGATGAAGATCCTGGAATATGTAAAGAAGATCTGATAAGCTGTCGCCATTCATGGGAGTACCACCCGGAATTGTGTTGATTCCATCTTGGATTATGATATCAGTGACTGAGCACCGTTGTTGTTTTTAAGTGTTAGTTGTTTTTATTATGTTTTAGATGTTTATTCATGGCACGGCTGATTAACTTGCCCTTGTGAGCCGCCCTGAGCCCATTGGGGAGGGCGGGATACAAATGTGAAAATAAATAAATAAATAAGAAGGGAATCTAACTCTTTGTACAGTAAGTGACTTGATGGCACTTAACATATCTGGTTGGGTCCTTCTTTCTACTTTTAACTGCAGTAAGGGGACAACAGGAGCTGCGGTGGCTCAAGTGGTTAAGACGCTGAACTGCAGGCTGTGGAAGGTCAGTAGTTCAGCAGTTCAAGACCCGGGTGCCGCATGATGGAGTGAGCTCCCGTCTCTAGTTCCAGCTCCTGCCAACCTAGCAGTTCGAAAGCAAGAAATTGCAAGTAGATAAATAGGTACCACTTCGGTGGGAAGGTAACAGCGTTCCGTGCACCTTGGTGTTTAGTCATGGCGGCCACATGACCACGGAAACGTCTTCGGACAGCGCTGGCTCTTCGGCTTTGAAACAGAAATGAGCACCGCAACCCTAGAGTCGGATTCGACTGGCTTTCGAGCAAGGGAACCTTTACCTTTACTAAGGGGACAACACAGGAAGCTCTATTTTTGCTTGTCTTTGATTTCTCTTCAGAGTGTGTAGCATCTTGGTACGGGGTTGTTTTGATCATGGATCAAAAGAGATTTTTAAAAAACCATTTCCCAGAACCCCAGTCCTGATCCATGCCAAATTTCTCTGCAGCTGCTTTTTAAGGTGAAGTTATATGTGAAGACAGCTGAT